TCCCTGATCTTCTCCGGCGAGCAGCTCACCACCTTAATTGTCACCTTGTTTGCCTTCTCATCATACTCCTGATCTCGTATTTCTTTAATTAATTTTGTTCACAACACAACGACTCAGTCCATTTGGCTAATCAATTCATAAATTGATATACGTATATCGTATGTACAAAAATTATATTTAACAAATTATGTATTAATTTATTAGGAGAGAACAATATTAATTGAAGAAAGGGAGTCATCACCAGGAAATTTGCAGAGAAGTTTTTTGATCTTTTTGTAGCATTTTGAGCACTGTAGGTCCACTACATTCAGCACCATTGTTGTCACCTGTAAAAGTATATAAATATATATATATATATGTTCATTGAACATCGATCACTATTAGACAAGGAATTTAATTTCAGAAAAAGGATTAATTACGAGCAAATTAAAATTAGCGCGCCATATATATGCATCAAATCAAAATACAACACTATATATATATATATATATCCTTAATTTTCATCAAGAGCGAGAGAGGTATAGCAGCCACAGAAAAGAAAGAAAGAAAAAATGTAGTATAAATTTAGCACAAACCTCCTCGGCCATAGCTGCTATATGGAGAAAATTAATTAAGGATCTCCGGCTTTTAATAAGCAGAGCGGGCGAGGGAGGAGTCTCTGGTTTGACGCGCTAACAGTAGTTAATTTTTCCACTAGTGGGTCCGATCGGGCCAATCTCCTTCTTTGCACGTGCTGCTTCTTATTACTCTCACCTTTCCATATAAAGCGAATCAAAATCCTTCCTCAACCACCCAAAAAAATATTAAATTATATAGCAAAATCCTAAACTACACTCATAGATACATCCAGAAAAATAAAGTGAGCAAAGGCAAAACTTTTATTGACAATTTTAAATGTTTATTTATGAAACTAGTTAGTTTTCTAAAAAAAATTTAACAAAACTAAGAAATGAATATATTTTTTAACTTTTTATATATCTCTAATATTTTTTTATTAAATAAAATTTTTCATTAAAATGAAAAACAATACTTTAATTTTAAATTTAATTTAACTTTTAACACCTCAAATTTTATTATTGAAAATTTGGTAATATAAAATGACATTACTAGAAGGGCCCCCTAGTTGTTTAAAATATTCAAGACAAGTGAAAACTATAATATTGTTGGGGAATTATAAAATGAGTTAAGTTGTGTGTGAATTACTTAAATTTGTCTTGAATCAATTTTAACATGAAACAAACTTTCACAAACTGATATTACAATGATGAAAGTAGCTTTTTCATCTTTTAAAAGAAACGAATCAATCTTAAGTTTATTGTATCAATGGGGCATAAACTACTAAAGGTGTATGTGTCGCAATTTTATATAACAGTAATTATGAGATAACAAGAATATATATATATATATATATTTAAAGAACACCTGCAAGTTGTTACAACTAAGGGGAGGGGTTAAACACAGCTGACAGCTCCACCATTAATATCACATGAAGTCAATGGTAGAGCAACTGCACTTTGTAATGTGAATTTTGAGATAACAATAACTTTTTTAGTAATTAATAGTTAAAATAATAAAAGTATTGATTAATCATCAACAATAATTTATTCATAGAAAAAAAATCATCAACAATAATTATGTTTTTAATTCCTGTATACCTCGATAAAATAAACAATATGGAACGGGATTGAGTAGTACTTAAATCGAAGCACCACAATCATCATCGTAAATAAAAACCCATATATATACTAATTGTATATATTAAATTTTATATAAATTATTATAAGATTTCTACATTATCATGTACCTTTACTTTTGGATAAACTATTAACAAGAAACTAAAGTACAGGGGGAAGAGAAATCATAAGAAAATTACAAAGTTCATTTTTGAGGTACTCCAATATCCTACAGTCCACAAAAATACAAAAGAATTAATTTGCCTGCACCATATAATTAACTTGAGCACCAAACAACATTCAAAAAGAAATTTGTAGTGCTTAACGTGAAGTTACCAAAATAGCCACTAGCGGTTCCTAAAGACGAGTTATGTACCATAGCGAGACTTGACTCCTAAAAGAGAAGACATTCATAGCTGGCAGCACATAAAACTGCATATGGCAATGCAATTTAAAAGGTTTAAATGAAATGTACTAAAACTAATGTTTTAATTTTTAGTATAGCAGTTAGGTAATACATATATAATTAATGAATTAGCTATTGGTGGTTGACCAAAAGCAAGTCATCTAAAGAGTGTTTGGCAAAATTTAAAATATACTTGTTTTAAAAGTAATTTTTTTTATCAATTTAAAATTTTATTATTTAAAATTTTAATATTTGAATTTTAAAATAGTTTTTAAGTAAATTTTGAGAAGATTTAAATGTTTAATTTTCTCAAAATTTGCTTAAAAACCTTTTTTCATAAGATAAAAAAATTTTATTATAAAAAAGAGTACAAGAGGATATTTTAACATATTACATTACAAACAAGTTATACGTATGAAAAACAAACAGAATAAATCATAAAAATTCTAAAGAGGCAATCTCGACAGAATAAAGGGACGCAGGAAACAAATCTTGGCATGAATATCCCAATTACCTCCATTTCTAGAGGAAGATCGTTTATGTTGCAATTTTTTTGCCAATTCACACGCTTGGATAGGGGAAGCATATCAATGATCCATCGATAATCCAAGCCAAGAGGTTGCTTTAAGCCAAAGAAAGATTTGGTGTTTGATCAGTTCCACAATTGTCTCCCTGAGTTCTGAACTTACTTCAATTATCCCCCGCCCCCCTCACGATTAAAAGATATTACTTCAATTATCACCTCATTTCTTCATAGCCACATAAGGTCATTTTAAAAGTTAGGTTAAATATCTTTTTTTATCCCTCTCCTATAGAAAAAAAGCCTCTGTTTAAGATTTCCCAAACACCTTCCTAATGGAGAACTCAAAAATTCTAAAAAAAAAAATAACTTGTCTCGTTTTCAAAATAAGAAATTTTATGCCAAGGAAAGGTAATCCTTTTTATTGCCATGGCATTGAACTGATCATTAGAGCATTTCTATTGTATAATAATGGTGTTCTCTCTCTCTCTCTCTTTTCCGATATAATGGTGTTCTATTTTCGAAAAAAAAAAAGAAGAAAAGAGAACAGAAACAAAACTCTATCCCACTTGATGGGAGTTCTCAAATCGAGTTTGTTTGTTCTCAGTTTTTATATTTTAAGTGAAAAAAAATGCTGCATCGTGGTGCAGCTTGCTACAACAATTCTTTAAAGCCATTGGATCAGAGGCTTTACCTTAAAAAAAGAAAAAAAAAAACTTTCAATTAAAATTTTTTTATTTAAATTTATAAAATACTAGTTGAATAAAAAAATATTTTTGTGATTTTTAAAAAGTATTATACATAGAAGAGAATGTGCATGTTTTATTAGGTGTTTTATTTAAGGTTTATACCTACTTATCTCTCTGTTCTTGTTTAAAGGGTTATTTGGTAAATTGGTTTGGTATAGCATTTGAATTATTAATAATTATTATTATTAGCAATCGTTAAATTAGATAAAATTGTTGACTATTAATTTTAAACTACTATAAAATCCATCTATATCAAAATTGTCCACTCCTAAAACTATTTTGTTTCCATGAAGAATGTTAAACAATTTTCTATAAATGTTAAGGTATTTTCTAGTTGTACACCTAAAATTAACACTTAGAAATTTCTCAATTTTTTATTTTTATTTTTATGCATTTTCCCCTCTCTATATTCACCTTTCTTCAAGAAAAAGACTCAAAACCCAGGTAAATACTTTCTTTATCAACCTCCATGTCATACAAGTAATATATTTATCTATAAGAGTTCTCAAACGTTAGAAAATATTTGTGGTTGATTAAAAAGAAAATAAATTTG